GTTTTCAGCCCATAATGACGCCTATTTTTACGAATTTCTTCGAGAATTATTTTTTTTCAATATTTCCATATTTACTGGATCTGCTTAGTAAAGCCTAACAATAAGTATTCAAATCTTAAATCTATTTAAAACTAAAGAGCCTCAAGAATGTGGTTAAGCTTTTTTGGTAGAACGTTGCTCTCTAGTAGGCATGTAGATTACTTCTTTTTAAACTTTTTTGATTGCAGGAATTTGCCAAGGCATTAGCCAACGGGTTTGGATGTTGGCGAAGTTTAGAAATATATTTCATTCTGCTTTCCTCTATCTCCTTCTTTACTATAGGAATATCGAGATCTTTGTGAATATTTTCATTACGCATGTACCATGGTGCAGTGGGATTGTTCTAAGCATTTTAAATAGGCACCTTTGTATTATAGCAATATTGGTTGCGCGGTCGTACCCCACAGAAGAATCCAAATAGGCTTTATGACCGCATTATATAAAAGCACTTTGTTATCTAGGCTAAGTTTGGAGTTTTTATTTAAAAGCCAATTTAAATTTGCTGCTCTTAACTTCATGCAAGTTATTTTACTCGCTATATGTTTTCGTCACGTGAGCCCTCGATCCAGGTGAATCCCAAGATAAGTTACTTGTTTGCTTGGACCTCTCGATAATATGGTAGAAGGAAACTCTCAACATAACCTTGATTTTTGGCCTGCTTTGTCGTGGTTTGGCTCACTTTTGCCACGATTTTCTTCCTATTGATAATCTGTAACAAAATTCTTGACATTCTTGTAGTCGGAAAGCATTATTTCACAGACGTTAACGCGACACAGTTTTTCGAAAAAATTGTGGAATTTTGGAACCAATCGTGCTTTCACGTTACGGAAAGCAAGAGGACACAGAAAAAAAGTTGCAGCTGTTCAAAAATGAGTGAAAATAACGAAGAAATCCGCTATTTTTGATATTTTTGTATAAGAAAAAAGTTTACGGAGACGATGCTGTATCGATGCTCACTCTTGGTCCAAATATTCTGAGAGAAAATTTGTGACAGCCTTTATTAGCCTCTCCGTTACAACTACCCACCAGCCTTCATAATTCTCTTGAGGTACTTCTCTTTTATTAGTCAATCTGAACAGAGAACTTCCTTGAATTATAAAATAATCTACACTGAATCGAATTCAAGTATTTGTTTATGTCTGTGAGGGACTAGGAGGTTGCTAAGAAATAGCTGCGCAAAAACCATAAAATACGCATTTCTTCCGCTCAACTCACGAGCAATCAATTAAGAAAGCAATAATATTTATCTACACCAATGCCACCACCAATGACACCACAAGCGCTCAGCTAAAAATTTATGCGAAACGATTTCGTCTTAATTACTTCGCACTCAATATAGATTTTAGAATTTTAGACTATTTAAAGCTCAACCCTTAATCGGCAGTGGATTAGCATAAATAATTGGCTGAATTTGGTGAGTAATGGGTGAAATTAAAGGAAAAACCAAAAACAAGATAAACAAATTTCACCAATAAATGAATTTAACGCTCGACGGAAAATGAAACGCTTTAAATATGCCGAGCGAATAGCGAAGAAAGTGTATACTGCTAGTTGTACACCAGTGCGTATACGTGATCAAAACAAATGCCATTTTCGCATAAATACGACGAGCAAGTATAATGAAAATGGAAATGCGAGACTAATGGTCAAGTTTTCCACAAAAGCAATGCTTTTTATAAATACATAAACATATATGTCTAGTGTAAAATAGAAACACTCAAGGCGTGCAAAATCACAGGAAAAGTAAAGCGTAAAGCAATAAATATCTATCAGACGCGCTTCAAACTTCCCAAAAACGAAGTTGCCAAAGACGCAAAAAGCTACACATCTTTTGCTCTTTTGCATGTATTTGATTGATTTGTTGATTTGCGAGGGTATTAAGCTGCGGGTGTGTACGTGTGTGTGTGTAAGTGTGAGTCTGTGCATAAGTAAATGGCGCTTTGCATTACAAAGCTTTTCCGAATAATGAATGGGGGCAAGCAAGCCCATGAATCAATAAGGGCATAAGCGTGACTGTGTGGCACAAATGGCGCGAGGTGTTGTTTTAGTATTGCGTAGAAATAAATAACGGCTATAAAAATGGAAAAAAGAGAAAAAGGAAATAGAAAATAGAAAATAGAAAATAGAAATAGAGTGCTGTACAAAAGTTATAGTATTACAGTCACGCGCACTTTTTCTATGAACTGACCATGGAAATTTCGTACAAATTCCATTTCTTTATATTTCTAGGTAATTTTTATGTAATTACGCTTAGATTTTCCTTGTATATATTAAACTCTTTCATTTTTGTTTGTGTGGCAACTACAAAAATATTTACACGGATTGATGCCTATAAATTCATTAATGTTTTATTAAATATCTGCTGTGGTAAACGAGGTCGATCTTTGTTTACTTTAGTGAATATTAGCATTTATAAAATGCATTTTATACGCCTCTTTATTATGTAGGCAAATGATTTGGTTGAAGAAAAACGATAAAACTATTAAATAAATATTATGAATAAATAATTTAATGGCTTCTTTTGATGACTTTTTCCACACAAACTAAATTAGAATGAAAATATTTGAGCCATTAGCAATATGATATTGCTATTTTGTAATTTAGCTATTTCAAGAACCCATTAGAAATGTAAAAAGTATAGGGTATATGGAAAAAAATTGTATTGCAGTGTGTCAGTTTGTAACAAAAATCATCCAAGTTTCTTACGTCTCTAAAAACTCCAAAGGCGCTCTAAACTTTAAAATTCTTACTGGTAATATAATGCCGAAGTTTAAAGCATATGGAGTGATATTACGTAGGTTACATTTTCTATTTCGGGATTTGGCAACTCACAACTTAATTGCAAAGTTTGATATTTTATTCATAGGAGCGCTATTTGTGTTGTCTACAGTAACTTAAAATATTCATTTCAAAATAATAGAATTAAATCGCAAAAATTMCAAGAGATTATTTTCTACAACTTTTGACGTGGTTTAATAAGCAATTTGACTTTCTACAGTAACTTAAAATATTCAATTCAAAATAATAGAATTAAATCGCAAAACTTTCAAGAGGTTATTTTCTACAACTTTCTATGTGGTTTAATAAGCAATTTGACCTTCTACAGTAACTTAAAATATTCATCTCAGCAAAAAACTGGTATTAAATCTCGAAAATTTTCGGGAGATTTTTTTTTCCAACTTTCGACGTATATTAATAAGCAATTTGTGTTGTCTACAGTAACTTAAAATATTTATCTCGGCAAAAAATGGAATTAATTTGCGAATACCTTCGGTATATTATTTCTTATAACTTTTGACTTAATTAACAATTTTTGGCGTTGAAGCTCCATTTAAGATCACTGTTTATCGACAATATGGTGAGTTCTACGAACCCGATTGAATTCATCATACTCACTCCCAGAGAAATTTCATGAAGTTCTTCTAAACTTATTTTGCAAGTTCATAATGTGATCTGTCATGAGATTGAGACAACTACCGTTCAGAGGCGATTTTTGCGATTAGCACTTATGTGTTGGAGATACCATCTCAGGCAGTGTGGCAAAAGTGCTTCGAAATTCAATTTACGATAATCAATATTTGTTTATGTTCTGTAATGCCGAAACTCTCGTAATAAACTACATATTAAATCGAATAAATAAGTGCCGACAGCTGCAAGTTTTGCCACTTAAAGTTTTAATTTTTTCACAGGCCAGAGAATATTAATATACTAAAAATACTTCTAAATAATGAAAGGCTGAATTTTATAATTGGGGAGGTGTGGCCACATATTGACTTTAATATAATTTCGAAACTTGGGCAATCGGAGTTAAGAGTCATAACAGGATATATATTGGTGTGTTTGCCATCACTTCTGTGGTACTCGTTTATAAAAAAATTAGATTTACACTATCAGTTAAACGTTTGGAATGTATGTTAAGAAAATATAAATTTCATAATTTAATTGCACCAAACATATGTATGTATATGTAGATATATAGTCACAAAAAAACCCATACTAATAATTAAAAAAGAAATTTTTTTTTAAATAGGTGGCAACATTGTTTGCACAATATTTCTGCAAAACGCTTTTTGCATTGAAATTATTTGTTATTTATAATTTTGAGTTTTTTAACAGGTGGTAACTCTGTTCCCACAAAATTTCTAGAAAAAGCTTTTCGCGTTATTTTTGAAACCATATTATACATATTTGAAATGAAATTATTTGTTGATTTTTATCATTTTGAATTTTTTAAGTAGGTGGCAACTTTGTTCCTAAAATATTCTTCAATACCGCTATATATTGGAATAATAACTTCAGTATTATCAACAAAATTATTTATACGTGCATATATTCAAATACAAATATATGCATGTATGTATGTATTTTTAACATTTTATATTCTTAACAGGTGGTAACACTGTTAAAAAATTAATGTTGAATAAAGCCTTCTGCTTACTGTTGGAATCCATTTTGTAGTATTTGAAGTGAATTGATTCAAATATATTAACATTTTATACATGTATATAAATAGGTGGCAACTCCGGTCGATTTTGTTTTTTTTTTTTGATCTAAGAATACTGACTTATTTCATAGGTTTATTGATGATATAATTATTAATAATAAAATACATTTTAACGGGTGGCATCTCTTTCACAAATGTGCAAAATTTACAAAAACACTTGACAGTTTCTACTAAAGCCATGCTAAAAATGGCCGAAAAGATAGCTACAAATATATGATAGCTAATATTACAAACATAAATCAGTATATACATATGTACATATGTATACAAATACATACATACATACATATATTACAGTTTTAGAAACCTCGCTTCCTTCCGTCACTCGTCAATAGCATTTCTATGAAAACTATTTTTATCAGCTGACTCAAAGCTCTTAATCTGCATCATTAGTATTGCACTAGTAGCAACACGTTTAACTGTAATTTTCACGGTTATTTGTATGCTTGTTTTCCAGGAGCTGGTTGCCATCTCGCCGGAACGACGTAATTGGCGTGGCATATTTATAGCGTTGCTGGTAATAGCAGCAGTCTTCAGTCTCATAATTTTCTCGATTTTCCTGCTGTCGCCAGGTAAGTGACACAACTCATATGCAAAAGCAACAATATACACAAATAGCTGTAAATATATTCATATGTATGTAATCATGCATAACTGTACTTATATAAGTAAAAATGTGTTTAATAATGGCAGCTGTGCAATTTCCCCAAAGACATTAAAATTATTTGACGCATTAGAGCAAAGTGAAAAGTTTTCACACACACATATACATATATACATATATACATATATGTGTGCATTTATCGCTGTGAAATTAACATGTTCATGCATATTTATGCGTGCTACTGCCATTTGTGCCGACTGTTATTCGCTGGCGCACCCTTTCGGTAGAAATTGAACACTCACCTCTCCTCTCTCCTCTACACACTTTTATTAATTTGACTCATTTAATTTCCATTCTAATTTACATGCAATTATAGAGGATGAAGGGTTGCGCATACGCGGCCGTCACATGGTGCTGCCAGACATTTTAGGCAAAAGTTTGCAGTGGAAGCCCTTCAACGGCACTTGGAGTAGTGGTAAGTGTGTCACTATGTGTGTGTGTACGTGTATGTGTTTCGCACTTTTTCAATGGATTAGTTCCTGATCTAAAAGCTTTTTCTATTTATTTTCCATTTTGCAGACATCGAACTGATCTACCGTGACCCCACAGGCGGCTTATCGATATTAAATCTAGACAATTACACAACGCGGGTCCTAATGACCAACTCAACATTCGTAAGTGTTGGCTTTGCAGCTTTTTCAGTGTTTTCTTTCTGTACACTTCCCTTTTTACAATTTGATATACTTTCTTTTTTCCGCTTTCCACAGCGCCAGCTAAATGCTGAATCGTTTCTCGTATCGCCCGATCAGAAGTATGTGCTGCTGCAGTCGGACAGCAATACGGAAGGCTCCAGGTGGGTTTTTGCACATACAATTTGCGTAAATAATTTGTTGAGCATTTTATTTACACTTTCCTTTACACACGACTAAATGCTGTTTGTCGGAGGTTCATTTCTTTTGTATTTTGTACGCGGCTGCAAATAAAGAAATACTTATTTTTATGTCGCAAGTAGGCGGCGGAAGGACAAATTCAAAGGCCAATAGCATTTTGATATTTACTTTTGATATTTCTATTTGTGGGGCATTCCACAGCTGAAGCCATCTCTCAATTGCTTTCTTAACAATATTCCCAGCATATCTTTAACTTTCTTAATATTTTCATTAGTTGAAGAGGTCGAAGTTCGTCCAGAACGTGGCTTGTCTCGAACGTTTTTTAATGCTTTGTACCACTCGCAGGTCTGCGTTTTTGATAAAATTGAATCGCCGTATGCCTGTTTGAGTTCCTGTGGACCGTAGAGGTTCTTTGTTCGCCAGTCGGATAGAGTAGTGGCCCGGTAAGCGTACTGAGTGCGGATTGCACGGCTGTGGAGGCATAATTTTCTCCATTAAGATCTATACACTTTTGGATGCATTTGAACCAATTATCGAAGCCCTTTCATCACACAGATAGAATTATATTCATAAAAATATTCAGAATGTTCTTATCAATCTTCTCTTCAGCTGTCGAAAAACACCGAGCTCTTAGTTAATTTTTTGCGTACGGGAAAGGCAGTTGGTTTTCTTGATTTCTTGATAGACAACTGCGAAAAAATGGTTATGTTCCAGTCAGAGTTTTAGTGGTATAGTTGCGACATGTACAGTTTCCACTTTTTGATCGAGATGAATATTTTAAGTTACTGTAATCTGTCAAACGTTTTGAGTATGTATGAGATTTGGCGCGAAGAATCAAAGAACTCGGTCCATTCGTTCCTTCAATTCCATATACATATTATAAGGCACTATCATTCTGGTTTGAATGTGATCTTCACACGGTTTCATCGAGTAAAATTTTTCCGACAACTGCTAAAAATTCCTCACCAACCTTTATATGGAATTTTTTAGAATTTTCTACCGAAAATATTCAATAATTCTTAATGCTGTGGAATGCACCTCAGACTCTACTATGCGTGCAAATGATCACTGATAAATAATTTACTCAACAAATGATACAGGAAATGACCGTCTCTTGCCAATACATATCACAAGAACGTGGGCCACATGGCGTATGATAAACATTTCCTCAGATGCTGAGTTAAAGATATAAAATTTTATGACAACGCTAATATTTTTTGCTTTTAATTGCCGTGAGAGACGAAACAGCACAAACACTACATGCAAACATATGCACAAATATTCATAAATATTTACATAACACCTTTCCATTGAACCACAAGCACACATACAACAACCACACACATTAAAAGCAGATGCGAAATACCTCAAATTTTAATTATTAACAATTCGTTGGAATTATTTTTTATGGCTCGATTTCCTCCAACAACAACGCGCAGGCATCACGTTTACGAGGTGCAGACAGCGAACACCTTTCCGCTGGGTCCCACGGAGAACATAGCGGAGCCGCCGCGCCTGCAATATGTCACATGGGCGCCCAACGTGCCGCCCGCGCCAGCCACAACCACAACAAGCACCACCACGAGCACCACTACAACAACCAGCACAACCACAACAACGCGCGCACCAATCAACACAACAACAAATGCGACACGTACAGCGAACGGCGCTGCGACAGCGGCAGCCGTGAATGGCTCAAGTGGTGGCAGCATCTTGCTGAGCAGCTTGGCGGGCGCAGCGACCGGTGGCGGTGTGGGCAAGCCGCCGCCAAGTAATTTTCAATATCCGAATGGCGGTGCGGTGAAAGCGTTTCCACAAAATCAGGCAATCGCCTTTGTGTACGAGAACGACATCTACTACAAGCCGAAGGTTCAAGGCGAGCTGGTATGCCGCATTACAACAACAGGTGAGTGGATTCGAGTGTGTGTCAGTGGGTGGCTCAACTATTCACTTTCAGTTTGTTTTATTATTCAAATATTATAAGCTGCCACTGATGTGTGGCTGAAGCGGTGCTTTCTACATACAAATATTTTAATCTTCCTTTGCTTACTTCTTCTTCTTCTTCGTCTTTTTCTACTATCATGTGGGTGTATGCGGCTTCCTCTTCTTGTTTCTTCTCATACGTATATTTGCTGACGTTTTCCGGCATCAGGTCGCGCTGGCGTCGTCTACAATGGTATACCGGATTGGACGTATGAGAATGTGCCAGAGCTGAATGGGCGCAGCAGCGGTCTCGCCTTCTCACCGGATGGTCTATTTTTAGCCTTTCTCACATTCAACGACAGCGATGTGAATGAATACAAGTGAGTACCGTTATGAATATTTAAAACTCTATAAAATGTGCTAACAAAATGTGCGCTATAATTATGGACGCCGTGAGTTTGCTCCCTTTGTCAAGCAGGCGGCTGACGTCAGTAGAGTTAATCATGAAGCACACGTAAGGAAGACAAAGTTCAAGCGTACTTAAGGGTTATTCTTACGGCTTTCATTGGAAATGAATAAATTATGTAAAAGGTGCATACCCTCAAGATCACTAGTCGAAAGCTGTCAAAAGCTCGTAAAGCTCTTTAATCTGCAAAATCTTTCTGTGAAACTATTTTCCTCTTACTTAATCACAAATTGTAGATAGTCCACCCACGAGATCTCCGGTTCCAATGTTGATGTGATGAGATAAGATAAATAGGTGAGGATTGTACCGTGAATTACGGCACATGCCTTGGAGTTGTTGCCAATACCTTTCTGTGCCTACTCCTTCATCCTTCCGTATCAGCACCTTTACGGTTTGACGATCCACCGCTATGAAGGGTTCCATGTTAGTGGATGATGCGGAGCGAGCGAGCTTATCGGTCAGTACATTCCCGACAATAACTTTGTCACCGGGCATCAAATAAGCACTTGGTTACGTTCCAACAGCAATTTGACTTCGTAGGCAGAGTTTGCTTTAAGTGCCGCTGCCCATTTTTGTCGATGTAACACTTGATTGTTCTCTCCTTAAACAGTAGCTCGAAAGTCTTGATCTTGATGATCTGGAACTTCTTTATGAAGTTTACCCTTTTGGTAATGCTGTCCCTTGGGAGAAGAGCCAATGGTATAACACCACTTAAGCCCTTCATCCGCTAGCAGAAAGGAATCCAGCGTAAGATCAATATATTAGACCATGTTAGTTATCTCTACCACTCTACCCCAAGCGTTAATTCGCTGAGACCGGCAGGGACCACCTGCCTCGTTAATGGGACGATGGTCGATTTCCAGGGTTGATATTCAGCTCAACTTCACTGCATCACTGGTTTAAACCTAAATCGTAGATAGTGTCTTCGAATTTGCCTATAGCTATAATATCAATGTCATCCGCATATCCTTGACAGCGGATCCCATTATCCAGGAAGTCGCATAACATTACTTCCCCTCCCTCGAGCAAACTCTGTATCTCCAAAGTTATCTCAGAGTAGGAAGAAGAGGTCAGTCTTATTGAGACTTTCTCCAAAAAGTAAAATCCTCACCAATAGATATGCGATTCATAGGCTGAACCACAAAAAAATTTCGAAACTTCGGTTAAGTCAAAATTTCTTCCAGTAATATTGCTTTACTATTCTAAACTCCCTCTATAAATTTTCCATTGTTATACTCCCCTTCTTCCCTGAACCATAGGTACACCTGGATGGGCGACGACATCAAGTACCCAGCTGTGCTAACACAACGCTACCCTAAAGCAGGCGAAGCCAACCCGAATGTCACCGTGAATGTGGTAAATCTCTCCGTCCTCAAGTACATCTTCCCCACACAAATCAAACTTCCAGCCGATCTCTCGAATGGCAGCTATATTGGCGCACTCACCTGGGCCACACCCATTGACCTCTCCGTAACGATCACCAATCGTGGTCAAACGAAAGCTACAACGGTTGTTTGTCGCGCACCAGACTTCCATTGCCATCCTGTACACACAGAAGTTACGGTTAATGATGGTTGGGTGCTACCAGCTGAGCGGCCCATATTTTCCGCACGCAATAGCGCAAATCTCAAACGAAACCAACAACAATTGCTCGCCAATGGACTGAATGGCAATAATAGCTATCACAATGTGAGCAATGGTCAGACCACTTATGAGATTTCGCATGGCGGTTATCTGCTCAAACGTCTCCCGGTACGCGATGGCGAACACGGACACTTCCGACATGTGGTCTTCATTTCATCACTGGATCGCCGACCAGTGCCATTAACAATGGGACGGTTCGAAGTCACCGAGCTTTTAGGTTGGGACGAACCGCATGAGATTGTTTACTTTATGGCGGCGCCGGAAAAGCGTCCAGGTGAACGGCATCTCTACAAAATCAGTCTTAAGCTGAATGAGACGCAAAGCAATCGCGCGTATATTACTTCAACACAGCCGACATGCTTGACCTGTGACAATACCATATCCACGTTCCGACTGACCGCGCAGGGTATACGCGTAGAGGACGCTGAAAATCGTAGCGACGATGAGACCGAGTGCTACTATGATATACCGAAGAACTGTCTTTACAATAAAATTTACTTCAGCAAAGATTACTCGCACTATGTGCAAGAGTGCCTGGGACCGGAGTCACCCAGCGTCTACATGGTGGAGACACAGAGCAACATGAAGACGTATATACTCAATGCGGGTCACAGTCTGCGACACCGTCTGCAACAGCTCGCTTTGCCACAAATACGTACGTTCAGCGTAGAGATACGACACGGTTTCCATGCACAAGTGCGTCTCTTTCTGCCGCCGGGAATGCGCGAGGACGAAGAGGTCGCCTTTCCGCTCATACTGCACATGTAAGTAGAATAAAATCGAGCAAAACTTATGAACTCACGACGGGAGCAATGAAACTAAAATCCTTGCCTTATCCTCTTCTGTCTACTTGCAGCAACGCGGCACCCGGTTCACAGCTGGTCACCGAAAAGTATCAAGTGGATTGGAACTGGTATTTGAGCAGTCAACGCTCCATGATTGTGGCGCAAATTGATGGACGCGGCAGTGGCTTCCAGGGCGAACTGCTGCGCACACAAGTGCACGGCAAGCTCGGCACCGTCGAAGTGGAGGATCAACTGGGCGTATTAACGTAAGCATTCACCACTAATACGACGCACACACGTGTGCGCCAAGACTCATAAACTTGCGCGTACACACTTATTTTAGAGCACTAAAACACACTGACCTCAAACTTTGAACCAAATAAACTCGTGTAGACTCATTAAGCGAGCTCAGCGAGCTCGTCAACAGCTCTTACTCACTTTGCTTACTTTATTGCATTTCTCTTCCACACACACCCTTAGCTACCTGCGCGATAATTTGAAATTCATTGATCCGTCACGTATTTGCGCCTACGGCTGGGGTTATGGCGGCTACGCGGCCACCATGACGCTCATCGATGACTCGCACCAGGTGCTGCAGTGCGCTGTGGCCGTCAACCCGATTGTCTCCTTTGGCTATCACTGTAAGTTTACAATTCACAGTTACTTTCGCTACACTTGACTCGCAACCGTCCACACGTCCGTTGTTTGCGCTCATTAACGGTGTGTTCTTCTGTTTCCTTGTAATCGTTGCAGACTCATTTTTCACCGAACGTTACATACCGCTGAAGGGCGATTACTTGCGCGCTCTGCAGGAGGCCGATTTGACCATGAAGGCTGGCAATATTAAGGGTCGCAATTTGATGTTGATACACGGCACGGCGGACAGACTGGTGCATCAGGAGCACACGTTGATGTTGGTGCGTGCGCTGGTGGATCAGCAAGTCAAGTTCAGACATCAGGTTAGTGTTTTATATTCGTATGAGTCTTGTGAGTTTTTGGTAATGGATATGTTACCAAATAGAATGTCATGTCCAACGTGCTAACAATCGACTTCTTTACCGAGTTCGAAACATACTTTACTAGAATTAAAAGGATAATTGAATATTATCTAGTCACTGCCATACGAAAACTCTTAGATTTGGCTAGATTAGACGGCTGATCAAAGATCGCACTTGGATTGCTGTATACAGTCCTTTGTGGAGTCATAAAAAAGAAAACTCCTCTGCTCGAAATTATAAGTTACCAAAACGCTTAGTATCCAATACAATTAAGCATAGGCGGTTAGTTTCCACTCCTTAAAGTTCGGTGGTTTGTCTGAACCTATGCGCTGCTAAATGCGGTCTTTCCATACACGGAACGGTCAAGAAGGAAGTGTTCGGTTGTTTCTTTATCTTTATTTCTAGAGGCTAGATTTCCAACCTTACATCGCTTTCTAAAGTGCCGCGAAGCTCAGCTATCTAGTAGTAGAACACAAGGGGATACAAGAGCACCGACTCGCTCCCATTCTATTGATAGCGGTTTTAGATTGCCTTTTCTTGCTATCTCATCAGCTTTACAGTTTCCTGCGATTCCGCTGGAATGAAATGTCAAAGTGAGAGAGGATTTTCGAGTGTTCAGACTCGTCTTCTTTTAGGAACCCGAATTCTCTGAGTCTAATAGCAGCCATGCACCTTCCGACGATGTCTAGTTGGAGTGGACCTCAGTGCACCACACATGCACAGGTTGAACGCTCTCGAGTTTCTTTGCAAATGTGGTATTTTCTAGAGTGATCCAATACATAAAGACTCCATAGAATCTAATGGACTTGACTATTGTGTCGTACAGCCAGAGGACCCCTTTCTGTGAGAGACCCCATCTGTTGCCAATGGCTTCGCTACGGCGGTATAAGGCTCCCTCTTCGCTATTCGGTTTCCATGAAAGATTCTTATCTTAGATGAGCCCTATATAATTCACTGTATTTGCTGGTTGTAGAGGGATACCTCACATTTGCGGCAGTAGTTCCACCAGGATCTTGTATCCTCCAGTAAATAAAACCATCTCGATTGTATTTTTTTTTTTTCAGAAAACTGAAAATGGGGTTTTTGAGGTTTTTTTATACTCTGAAACTCAGAAGGAAACGCCTGAGACCATATAAAATATATACGAGCTGAGCCGATGTAGCCATGTCCGTTTGGCTGTCTATATATACGCGAACTAGTCCTTCAGTTTTTGAGATATCGCTCTGAAATTTTGCAAATGTTCTTTTTTTCCGAATAAGGATTTGTCGGAATCGCCGATATCGGCCCACTAAGGCATAAAACTGCCATAAAAACTGAATTATCGAAACAAAGTGCTGGTATAGAAAACTACTCATTTATTCTTTTCCCTTTAGGATTTGTTTTCTAAATCTCAGACACTCGTAAATGTAAAACGCTTCTAAATCACCGACTTGCTTTCATATATTATCTTCCAGGTCTACCCCGATGAGGATCATGCGATGACGAAATCACTCAGTCACGTCTACAAAACAATGGAATGGTACTTTGATGAGTGCTTCGGACCCAACGACGACAACGAATGGGATCCGACGGGACTCTTTGTGTTCAAACAATAATTAATCATTCACAGTGGTGAAGAGGTCTATTTGTAGAAGCAAGTACTAAGTAGTTGCATAAATTAGTGTGATTAGAGATTCTATAGGCAGCACGAAAAAAACAAAAATTTAAGCGATTAAAGCGAACAACGCGTTGCAACAACAAAGTTCATATGCATGTAGTGATGAGTGTTAAGGGTATGGAAGGGCATATAGGTCACATCTAGGTGAGCAAGATTAAGAGAGTTGAGTACTCATTCTCTAAACTGTGGGTTTTGTGCGTAGCGACAGAGTTGACGCGTTCTTAACTAGGAAAATTCAAGTTTTTGCATTTTTGAAAGAAAATAATATTACAAATTAGTTTTTATATTTGCAGGCTAAGCAAAAACATTAAGCTAAATAAGAAAGCTGATTAGAAACAAAGCTTAAGTTATATAAAACTAAGTGTAAGTGGTTACAAAAAGTAATGAAAAAATTAAAATTATTTAAAAAAATAATAATTATTTAAAAAATTTAAAGCTAACAAAAAGCAAACGACTGTCTCTTATACACATCTAGATGTGTATAAGAGACAGGTTTGAACCCGACCCCTTTAGATTTTGCGGAAACTTATCCATCCTTTTCTACCTTTTGAAAAACATTTTTGAGAATTTTTTCAAAATTTTTCTTCAAAAGAGTTATAAATTTTGCTATTTTTTGCTAAAAATGGCTTTTTTATTCCCAAATAGCCATAACTTTTGTAGAAATTTACTTTTGGAGGCCTTTTTTTTAATTTATGTTTTTGAATAAACTTTTCGAAAAAAATTTAACACGATCAATTGTATAAAATAATCGATTTTTTTAAGTAAAATCGTAATTCTTTTTTTCGAAGTTCGCCATTTTTTTTTTTTGTTCCTTTAAAAAGACTTCAATTAATTTGACAACTATCCCTGCTAATCCCGGAGTGGACCGATTTTTTTTTTCATATTTTGTTTTTTTTTTTTNCAATAAAAAATAAAAATTTATGATATTAAATTACGATAATGACAAAAAAATCCAAAAAAAAATAATTAAACTAAGTGATTGCATTGAGTTAACGGTTTATCATATTTAACGTAAATAATATATAAATTTAATGTATTTACTAATTTTTTATACTCGTTCAAGCGTGCATTCCACAGTCGACTACACGTGTGTGCAACAAAACATATGCATAACATATTTATTTACGGTACTTTTGCATAAACAAACATGCATAAAATTTATATTTGAAAAAAAAAACTTATATATATATATGTATATTTAATATTTATTTACCGTTAATATGTTGCGATATTTATTAAGTGTATAGTTAAATGTACTGTTATGTGTATTTACAGCTGCGCATATGTATATTTGAAATGCTCCAGGCAGCGCTCTTATATGTATATATGTGTGTATAATTGATTATGCCGTTATTCGCAAAATGAATTAAAATTGACTGAATGTTGTTTTTTATATAAGTATATGTATGTATGTAATCAAATGCCGTGCTTAATTTTGTGAAAATTTACATTTTTTAGCTTTAAAGCGTATGTTATGATTAAATTATGAATATTAACTAAGTTCGAGCAGCCAGCAAATATATGTACATGTACATGTTGAATTCGGTTTTAAACTAAATAAATATGTAGGTAAATTCATACATAAACAGCTGCGAATTAAGTGATATTTCTGCAGTTATCTGCATTAGGCTGGGTCAAGATATCGATTATTTTTTTTCCTTTATGCACTGAAAAATAGTAAGAAAAATTCAAAATTGGAAAATTTTCATGACTTTATTAAGAGATCTAGATGGAATTTTTTCAGGTGTCAACTAACCAGTTTTTCAATAATATATTCCATACCAATCGACCTTTTTTGAACCCGACCCCTTTAGATTTTGCGGAAACTTATCCATCCTTTTCTACCTTTTGAAAAACATTTTTGAGAATTTTTTCAAAATTTTTCTTC